AGTATAAACACTTGAATAACACTAGTACAACCCTAGTTCACTAGTATAAACACTTGTTTTACACAAGTACACTAGTGTAAACACTATTACACTAGTATAAACACTTGTATAACACAAGTACACTAGTATAAACACTAGCATAAACACTAGTTTAACACAAGTACACTAGTATAAACACTAGTTTAAAACTAGTATAAACGCTAGTACACTAGTATAATACTAGAACTAACATTTGAATAACACGAGTAAACTAGTATTAACACTTGTATAACACTAGAACACTAGTATAAACACTAGTACATACACTTGTATAAAAGTACCACACTAGTATTACTCTAGAATAACAGTTATATAACTCAAGTACACTAGTATAACAGTAGTAGAGTTACACACTTTAGACCAATAGTATACTAGTATAACACTAGAATAGCACTAGTACACAGTCAGTAAATGCTGTGATATTTGTCTCCCTGTCTTACATCAGTACATGTGTTTTATTGATCAATATTGCTACAAATAATGAACATGTTTTATTTCATTTTATTGTACATATTCTCATAAAAATACAGGTACTGTCATATATATATAGATAATTCAGTATGTAACAGTTATACAAGAGGGCCATGATGGCCCTGAGGTCGCTCACCTGTATATAGTCCCCCGCCCCCAGGCCAATTTTTACCCAAGGACTTTTATTTGTTTATTTGAACAGACTTGGTAGACACCCATAAGAAGATGTTTCATGCTAAACATCTAAGTCCTAGCTCATTGGGTTTTTTAAAAGAAGATTTTTAAAGTTTTTACTATATACATATAGTTAAAAACAATGACACCCCTGGGGCAGGGCCAGTTTTGACCCCCGGGCTTTTATTTGAACAAACTTTGTTGATATTTACTAAAAATTGTTTCATGCTTAATATCTAAACTCTAGCTATTTGGGTTTTTTCGAAGAAGATTTTTAAGTTTTTGCTATACACATATAGGGAAAATCAATGACCCCCTGGGTGGGGCCAGTTTTGACCCTAGGGCTTTTATTTGAACAAACTTAGTATACACTCATTAGAAGATGTTTCATGCTTAATATCTTAGGTCTAGCTCTTTGGGTTCTTTAAAAGAAGATTTTTTAAGTTTTTACTATATGCATATAGGGAAAATCTATGACACCCTGGGGCGGGGTCAATTTTGACCCCAGGGCTTCTATTTGAACAAACTTGGTAGACATTCACTAGAAGACGTTTCATGCCAAATATCTAAGCTCTAGCTCTTATGGTTCTGTAAAAGAAGATTTTTAAGTTTTTACTATATGCATATAGGGAAAATCAATGACCCCCTGGGGCGGGGACAATTTTGACCCCAGGGCTTTAATTTGAACAAACTTGGTAGACACTCACAAGAAGATGTTTCATGCTTAATATCTTAGCTCTAGCTCTTTGGGTTCTTTAAAAGAAGATTTTTTAAGTTTTTATTATATGCATATAGGGAAAATCAATGACCCCCTGGGGCGGGGCCAATTTTGACCCCAAGGCTTTTATTTGAACAAACTTGGTAGACATTCACTAGAAGATGTTTCATGCCAAATATCTAAGCTCTAGCTCTTACAGTTCTTTAAAGGAAGATTTTTTAAGTTTTTACTATATGCATATAGGGAAAATCAATGACCCCCGGGGCGGGGCCAATTTTTACCCCAGGGCTTTTATTTGAACAAACTTGGTAGATACTCACTAGAAGATGTTTCATGCCAAATATCTAAGCTCTAGCTTTTAGGGTTGTTTAAAAAATATATTTTAAGATTTTTGTTTCGGTTGCCATGGCAACCAGAGTTTTGCATGGAATTAAATTCTTTGAACAATTTTTAAAGGTGACCACTGAAGGAACATTCCTGTGAAGTTTGGATGAAATTGGCTCAGTGGTTTATGAGGAGATGTCATTTAAAGCAAAAGTTTACGGCTTGACGGCCGGACGCCGGACGGAAAGCGATCACAAAAGCTCACCCTGTCACTTTGTGACAGGTGAGCTAAAAACAAAATGTGTAAAACAAGTGACAGATTTATACAGTAATTCAGCTTCATAAACCTTGATATTGTTAAAATAAAGATTAAGGAGCCAAGTTAAAACAGTATTAAAATCAAACATAATAATAAAGTTACATATATGTACTAATCAAGAATTTGTTGCAATCTAAAACAAAGGATTACTGGAGAAAACTTACAGGTTTTGTGTATGATCCTAACTGGATACAAATATAACCTACAAAGATTTATGTCATTTTTATCTTTCGAAAATTTTAATGAGCTTGTAAAAGTAGCATTTTAGAATTTAAAATATCAATAAAAGAGTGAATACAATAAAATGTCTATTCAATGGTGAAATTTAAAGTTAGTTATCATAAGATTGCCACAATTTACAATAAAGAAAGACCAGTGTAGTATATGATTTATTATTAGGCTTCAACTCTTAACATGCTAAATATCTGACACATACTTGTCTGTCTTTAAATCTTGAAAAAAATATTCAAATTATTTAGGGAAAATTTCAAAATATTTTTAACTGACTGAATAGTTCAGATCATTGTCAGTTAATACAGATATTTCAGCTTATCCTGATCATTCTGTACTTGTTGGGAGACATGGCAGAGATGGAATCTGTGGCTGCAGACTAAGGTTTAATGGTAACAAAACCATCATGAATCGTGTAAAAGCAATGTGCATTTCCACGGTAACAGAAAGCTACCAACATGTATACAACTGCATTATAAACAAATATTTTCAGTTATAAGTATAACCATTTTTTCAAACACAGATAACAACATATAAATGAAAGGAAAATTTTAACACATTAAAATCACTGCAGACAGAATTTTGTTTCACCAAAAAGAAACGAACAAAATGAATATTAATTAAAAGAGATAAAAAAAAAGAAAGTTAAAATATAATAACATATGAGGTTATTAACAAACAAGTATTATGTATGACAACATCTTCTGGTTTCTGTAACAGCCGTCCTGTATATATACATACACATAATACTTACTCCATGAGGTAGATACAATCTTTCCTTACATTTATACAATATCTAACTATAATGAAACAGAACAATCTGTGCATGAATATAGGGATAAAAATGTTAAAGGGGTATCCAGTTTTTTGACATAGAAGGCTTGGAAGATTTTTTTTTTGAGATTTGTGTCACATTGGATGTAAGTTTGGACCAAAAACCTTGTGTGTAAAATGTTAGTTCAAAAGTCTAATTACTTTTCCAGAATAATCTTTTTATTTTATTTTTCAAAATAACTTGAAATGAAATAAATTTATTTCACTCCAGTTTGGCTAAGAATCACACTACAATTTTACTTTGAGTATATTTTTTTTATCATCCTTAGCATATCTTTCCATTTAAATGTCATTCTTGATCTGTGTAAGGATTTCTTTAATCTGTTTATAGTTTTGAAAACTCCTATAATTCTAACTCCACACAGACGATCGTCACACAGATGATTGCAGTGAAATATGAAAATACCTACTTTATACTCGGATACCATCAATTTGTACACTTAAAATCCATGGAATAAATCTCAATTTTCTCATCTTTTCCTATATACTTTTATTTCTTTCACAAAAAAAGAGGTTAAAACATTTCATCAAATGTTGATTATTTTCATTGTTTATAAATTTATACATCTCTGATACTGTACACAAATTAATGACATCCCAGTATAAAGTGTTATAATACAAATGAAACGTTACATCTGTACTTGTCAAACAAATTAATATTATCATGTCAAATATCATTTAAGTTTTAATCTTAAATCACAACATTAAGCATAATTCAATTTACAAAAATATACATAGAAAACTAATATGTTTAAATCTGTTTGTTTTTTTCTCTCTAAAAGTAATATGTTTTTTTCTTTACCAACACTCAGTATTCAACAGAATGAGCATTTGAAATAAACATATTATTTATAAAACTTACAAACTATATACATTCCTCAGCAAACAAATAAATATACATTTTTAAATAATAATTTACTTATATAAACCATTAACAAGAAACATGGCAATGCCACGAAACCAGGTTTTCAATTATCTCCATTGTAGATAAATATGTTGTATTTGAAAAACAAATACAAGCAATAAACAATGTAACTATGTGCAATGTAAAACATGAATAATGTAGGAGGAATTGCCACAGAAGAAGTGTTCACTATATATTCTGTATAAGGAAAAAATATATTCTGTATAAGGAAAAAAAAACAAAGGGCCTTAATTAGGTCAAAAATTATCCAATCACAAAACCTCTACAATATGCGCCAGGGCACTTGATGATATGGCTTCTGTGAAAGTTTGAACAAAACCTGTTGAGAAATGTAGGACTAGTTCAGCACAGAAGAATTTGATCATTATATATTGAGGAAAAAAAACAAAGGGGCATAATTAGGTCAAATATTATCCAATCGCAAAACCCGGACAATATGTGCCAGAGCACTTGATGACAAAGCTTCTGTGAAAGTTTGGTCAAAATCCGTTGAGAAATGTAGGAGGAGTTGCGCACAGCAGAAATTGTTCACTATACATTCTATATAAGGAAAAAAAACAAAGGGCCATAATTAGGTCAAATATTATCCAATCGCAAAACCCCGATAATATGTGCCAGGGCACTTGATGACAAAGCTTCTGTAAAAGTTTGGTCAAAATCTGTTGATAAATGTAGGAGGAGTTGCGCACAGAAGAAATTGTTCACTATATATTCTATATAAGAAAAAACAACAAAGGGCCGTAATTAGGTCAAATATTATCCAATGGCAAAACCCCGACGATATGCGCCAGGGCACTTGATGACAAAGCTTCTGTGAAAGTTTGGTCAAAATCCGTTGAGAAATGTAGGAGGAGTTGCGCACAGAAGAAATTGTTTACGCCCGCCCGCCTGCCCGTCCGCCCATCCGCCCGCCGACATACCTCAATCTAATAACCAGTTTTTTCCTTCGGAAAACCTGGTTAACTATTCATTCTTTTAACTTCCAACAAATGAGCCAATTTCATATAATTGAACTAGTGCTTTTTTCTTTATTCAACTTGACAAATTAATTATTCTTTACAATCAGAAGCACTGATATAATGTATGTTAACAAAAGTCTTCCATTTTACAGTACAGAATATTACTAAGACAGTACTAGAGCATCAAGCATTAATCAATTGTTATATTGTGTTATCTCCAGATGTATTTTAAAACAATAAGCTTATTTTACATGTCCTACAATCTAAGCTGACAATATCAAAAGGTAAAATAAAATCAGACCATCTGATGGTAGCATGATCACTAACAAACTGAAATACACTTTATTATCTGCTATTTTTGCATATATCAATGTTTGTATATAATCATGATGATGAGTTGCCTCCCCTAGTGAACTGTCTAATGTATATGTTGTCTTACTGTTGTTCACAGATACTCGTATTTTCACACATCAGTTAATCATTTTATGATTTGCTGGATTAGTGAATGTAAAGTATGATGATAGTTTAACTGATGTATCTGAATAAAATATTGATAACAAGAATCATAACTGACACTACTATAACTAGTCACCTACTATCACGTTTATTTTTCAAGAATCCTAACACTTTCTTCAACCCCAGTAGACGTTCTTTGTATGATTGCATAGCTAACATAGCAACCTGAATTCTAGGATCAAGTGGAAGAACTGCGATCATCCACCAGTGCCAGGCCGTGCCATTCGGACCAATATTATTATCATTATCTACTGTAGGAAACTCTCCAAGATGTTGACGTATCTGATCTTTCTGTGACTGTGGTACACCCTGATACCAGCTATAACATATACCATATAACTTGTCTGACAATGCCTTTAATTCTGTAACAGGAAGGGAGATAATTATAGAAACATTGTTTCAAACAATATACAGACATAGTGGAATACAATACTATTTTGTATTACATCACCAACACAAGTAATCATTTCTATTTTGACATTTAAATATTTTTGGTTAAAAAAGAACTCAGATAAGACTATCTTTTACAACAATATACCTTAATTTCTAGCATTATCTTAACTTTAAAGGCAAGGACGTGCTATGTTTTTCTCTACATAAGAAGTAATGTAAATGTGTGTCACTGACCTTCAGGGTTTTCTGGTTCAGTGTCCTGTAAAAATTCCACCTTTGCTGTACTGTATCCTTCCCTTTGACCTCTACTTAATACCTTAAACCTCTTCCCGCCTACTGTATCTACCAGAGATCTGCCGTCCGGGAAAAACTGAACATCTCGAATCTCTAGCATACACCCATACTCGGAGAAATCCTCTCTAAAAACAATAGATCATCATCATTGTGACTGTTTATACATACAAATGTCATCTTCATAAAATAACATGTTTATAAATCCCTCAAAAATCGGCAGTCAATTACACCATTCCTGTATCTGAACAAACAATATGGTTTAAAGGCCATACAGAAATTAACAAAATAAAGCCAAACTATAACAATGTAATTCATACATATTTCAAGATAATTTCTGAGCATATACATTATTTTATTTGCAAACAAACAAATCATGAATCACTTACTCTCCGTCCCCTGTTGCTGTACACATTCCAAATTGACGACTACCTGACTCCATACACTGTCGTACCATCAACCTGTAACGTGGCTCAAATATATGTAGAGGACATGGAACATACGGGAATCCAAGGGTACATACAAATACAGGTATTTCCAACTGATTAGCCAATCCTAGCCTGAAATATATAACAGAACAATTCATGTTATGTAAACAAGCGAATATATCATACAAAAATCTGCATGCAATGTAACCATATTAAATTGAAGTAAAATATTGGACATCAAGTATGTCTTATAAATCTTATCATTTTTTCTGCTGGAAATTTCGAACACATTCACACAAACAGTAAGAATTTGGAAATTAAACAATAAATATTACAAATATCTGTATATGGTATTAGAAGAAGCTGAAGAAATATTTACCCTGATATTTCATTAAGTTCCTCTTCATGTTGTTGTTTTCTCAGCCTTGTCTCCTCAAAGAAGTATGCCTCTAACAAATTCTCTACAGCAGATGTCACAGCTTGCCTCCTCTCAGCCAAATACTACAACAACAACAACACATTGTTACTTTAGTACTCAAATACTTCAACAAGAAAACATTGATACTTTAGTACAGTACTATATAAATTTTTACTGCATAAAACCTGATCTAAATCTCACCCAAAATTTACATTATCTCCTAATTCATGATAAAACATGTTGTATAAAAGCTTAAAATAGTCAAATCAATGAAAACTTTTATATCATCATTTCATTAATAACAAAGATATGACAGCTGGACAGTGTGACAGTAAGTACAACATGATCAAATATTTTAGTAATTACCTCAGCCAAGCAGCTCTTACAAAGAGGACACTCAGTTTTATGATCTAACACCTTATCAAGACATGGACGGCAGAAAACATGACCACATGGTGTTGTTACAGGTAGATGCAATAGACGGTAACATAGACTACATTCAAAATCTTCTTTCTTTAATAAACTTGCATCTACGTCTGGCTTGTTGAAATTTCTCGGACAATCTGAAAAATTAACCAAGTAATAAAGCATTCTTGACTTATTGAGCAGTCTTAACAAAAAAACATGTCTATTTATAACTTTTTATTCAAGTATTAGAAATCCCTAACACATTACTGTTCAAGTTTTTAAGAAAATTCCGCTCAAAGTATTTTCTTCAAGTCTTCACATCTTGTCATTTGAATGAAAAAATTCTGTTTATGTATACATAAAGTTTTAATGATAATATAACATAATTAAAACTGTATCTGTGTCATTTAATTAACATTGTTAAGAGTTTACCTTTATTATCATTATCAGTTTGATCAGAACTTGTTGACATAGCAACCTCCTCACTGCTGCTTTCATCACATGTCTGGTTGAGGTAATACATGTTGGAAGCCAGGGAATTTGTTCTCTTTGGTATCTGTACTGGCGTGCTGGCACGTGATCCTGGTGCTGATATGCCTACAATATCAAACATGTTACCATGACTATACTGTTTTATCATTGTAAATTCATCTACAACTTCAAGCCTCCAAGATATGTTGATATGTTAAGTACAGTAAGGTAAATGAAAATATATTTGCAAATTACACTACAAATTTTGTTTTGTTTAAAATATATGTTATATACAAAATTTGTTTAAAAAAAAGTTCATCAGCAAAGATTGTGTGCAGGTGTGATTTCTGTTCCGTAAATATATAACAAGATGATTTTGACAATATCATTATAAATTTAAGCTTTCTATACATAACAATAAAACCATTTTATAAGAGCATAATTATACAGTGACAGAATTAGAAAATTCTGATAATACTTAAACAGATTCAGTCTTGAAACATCTGTTTTTGTTAAAGTATCAAAACAAATTCTTTTGAAATAAAGCATCTTGATATTTAAACAATTTGACTATGGACTATTCTGACCTGTACAATAAAATAATGCTATTATTATCAGGTTTGCCAAAAACGTGGATCAGAATAGTGACCTTGAACTTCAGTTGTATAACTGACCTTGGCTTGTATAATATACCATGTTTAAGTCAAGATTAAAGGTTTACAAGTTATTATGTGAGATTATGCTGATCATTCTTACACAACAAATATTATCTTATGACCATCCATATTATATGATAATATATGCAATTTACTTACTACATTATAACATCATGAAAACAGTACACAAATATTATTATGTACTAGATAAAGATTTGAAAAGAAGTTTGTTTTTTCTGAATAGGTTAGAGTTTATTAGTAAGTATTTACAAAATCAAATTGGTCAGGCCCAGCACAGCCGCAAGACCAATTTAATTCTTATAAATGTTAACTGACTAAGTGTTTTAAATCATTTTTTTAAAAGTCGATTTACTAGACTGATATACAGTTTGCCGATTTAACAAACTAAATATGTTACTATTCATTTGAAATACTGCAATCCTTATGGATAAAAAAGATTTTCTAACACTTTTCAAACACTAATACCTTTTCAAACCCAATTACATGTACAATAATTATAATATTCTGTTTAACAAAAAATGTTTAATAAAAGTTCTCTTATTATTTTGTCTTTAATTTAATTTAATAAAATAAAATACATCATGTGAGGGTCATTACATTTTGATGTAGATTCCTGAGAAGAACTTCCCCCATCTCTAGTGTATATCACCCCACAATTCTGGAAAATAAAAATATTGTTATTATATAACACTGCGTTTTTATATAACACTGACTAATAAACCAATTAAGTTATGCAAACAATTTCAGTTTTTATATTAAAATATGAGACACAAAACATTCAGCTTAATGGAGATTAAACCATCACATGTTTATATAACAACATTCGGGAAGTTATATAACTGTCACGTTATAAAACATGTAACATAATACTGCACTATCTAATATCATCATATTACTTTATGCAGGCAGGTGACAGAGAAATGCTCTACTTTAATCCTCTATTTTCCTAATTATATAAATTCCTTGCTACTTTGTTAATAGAATATAAAAACGGTGAGATTGCATAATAATTTTTTTATGTGTTTCATAACTAATTTTTTGCTCATGTCCCTATTGGTGATTTATGTATTAGAGATAAATGCTATCCATATCATTGAACATCGCTAGAGTAAGACCTAACATTTATTACTATATAAATCATTTATTATCTATTTGTCACAGTCATGAGATGTATGAAATTACATTTTAAACGGGTGACTAGTTAACTGATATATTAACATATATTATCTGATATAAACATGGTTAAACTTTTCAATGTACAGAAACATTTTAAAACTAATAAAGACAGATACCTGATCATCAGTGCTTGCTCTAGCCCTGCCTTCCAGAAAATTGGTTGCCGTGGCAACAGTATCTGTAATAATCTCCTTCAATTGTCTCACAGTATCAACAGTTACACTGGGAAGAAGTAATGATGTGTCAAAGTTAGAGCGAATTAAACGATCAAGTAATGATGGATTTAGTTCCCGTTGTAGTACGGCTGTTTTTGGATCATCTGGAGACAATGGTACTATGATGTTATGAAGTGCCTACAATAAAATAATTATCAGCTATAATCTTGTATTACATATACATATATATATCTGGGGACAATGGTACTATGATGTTATGAAGTGCCTACAATAAAATAATTATCAGCTATAATCTTGTATTACATATACATATATATATCTGGGGACAATGGTACTATGATGTTATGAAGTGCCTACAATAAAATAATTATCAGCTATAATCTTGTATTACATATACATATATATATCTGGGGACAATGGTACTATGATGTTATGAAGTGCCTACAATAAAATAATTATCAGCTATAATCTTGTATTACATATATTCAATTTCATTATATATAAAATATATCTAACTTTTCTCTATGAAGATATACTTGGTGACATTGAAAATGTAGTTTATTACAGAAATTATCAAACATCACAGATGATTTACATCTCGTGATAAAATAAGCTAATAAATGCTTGTATCTTATTCAAGCATGTTCTAAATTTTAAACTCACTCTTACATAACAAAAAAAATGTCGCATATTAAACGCTTTCATTTTATTTACACATTTCTGTAATATCATTATGTAACACAATTTTATTTTAGTTATATCAAATCAGAGAGACTATAAGTCTATGGAATACTTTTAAACTGATGGGTAATTGATAAAAAAAATCTTTTTTAAAGTACATATAACTTTAAAATATATGCACACTAAATATAAATAATATAAATTAATTTTTTTTTTATTTGCATTTAAGTAAAACATACTGCCTTTGAGGACAACATACCAAACATTTATATAATATCTAAACTACAGGGTTATTCTGTTTATTATTGGGATATTTGTATATATATATCCTACATTAGACACACCTACTAGTATATCAAACACATTTCGATTGCATATATATTTAACAGACTGATTTTATATTTAACATACTGATTACATTTAAAGACACACTGATTTTATAAAACTTACATTTAAAGACACACTGATTTTATATAACCTTAATAAAATTTTAAGTTACATTTTATATTACATACATTTAAAGACACAATGTTTTAATATAACTTATTCATATTGATACATACTCTGATTTAATATAACCTACATTTAATGACACATTGATTTTATATTACATACATTTAAAGACACAATGTTTTAATATAACTTACATTTAAAGACACACTGATTTTATATAACCTACATTTAAAGGCACACTGATTTTATATAACCTACATTTAAAGACACACTGATTTTATATAACCTACATTTAAAGACACAATGATTTTATATAACCTTAATAAAATTTAAAGTTACATTGACAAATTTTTGTCATATATAATATACAATAATATACAGTACACACAATCTTTCAAACAAGTATTTATAACAGGTGCAATGTTACAAACTTGTGTTGAATAAGAGACCTACAGCTTTATGGACTTTTGCTGTCATAACAGGTATCAAATGCTATGCAAATATCAAAGGCTACATAGCTGCTTTACATACTTTTTTAACTTCCTTTCTTGCTGGTGCTTATATACCCTGGTCCCACCCACTTTAAAAAATAACAATAAACTTAGCATCTTTTAAACATAATGAAACCGCAGCTCCATGTCACAGTCAGTGTTTAAAAAAATTAGTAAAATAATAATCCTACCTTTGAGAGATAATCTTTGGCAGTATCTATAGTAGAATCTAAGGCAAGACACTGTAATAGTGCAACAACCGACTCTTCATAGCGTTCTAAACCATATAATGCACAACCCCGTCTAAAATAACCCTGAAATACAAACACAATGTTACACCTTGGTCTTACACTAGTATACTAATTGCACTAATTGCCCTGCACAGGTCATCAAAAAATGATGACAGAGAATGATTAAAGTTTGTTTCAAAATTTACTTCAATTAGATATAAGGATTCTTAGCCAAATGAATGTCAGGACTTATTCATTTAAAACATTTTAGCATGGTCATTTCAGAGATTTACAGTTTCAAGTTTTGAGTATAGCAGATAATCAATACAAATTGAAAGATATATCAAATTTTTTATTTCAGTTATAGTTGTCCAAATTTATTCAATAAAAATTTATCAAGAGCCTGATAAAGTGATAATGATGCTACATGGAGATGATCCAGTTATTGCCATGGATTTTGTGAAAATTTTACTATGTTTAGGTCCAACTAAACTGACAATTTAAATCAAAATCAAAGTTAACTTAAGTAACATTAAAATTTCAAACATTAAGATTTCAAATAACATTTATAGAAGAGGCCAATGACCTCTGAATAAAACTTCAAAGTTTACTGCAACATAGGTCAATCACCTAAAATCTTTAGGTAAAGTTCTGATTTTGACAGTGAAATATCTTTATATATTTTAATTCACACTACATGACTATAGAAAATTTACCTTTGGCCAGTCTGGTCTCAGTTGTAAAACATGTTCAGCATCATCAAGAGCTTCCTTAAAGCGGTCCAGTCTACAGAAAGCATGGGAACGGTTACTCCATAATATATGATCTGTTGGTGCTAAAAAGCAACAAAACAAGAACTGTAACACTGACAGCATGCTGGAATGTTTTCAATAATTTGAGATATAAGAGAAGTGCATTAACCAAGAGGAATAATTCAACGAAACTCCATGCTAGAGTTATGCCCTTTCATCACTTGAGACCTACAAACATGACAATACCTGTAGGATACCTGTAGGATGATTCTGGGCTCTGATGGAAGGGCCAAGACCTTTTTAAGCCCCTCCTCTTTTGACAATCTTTCACTACTTCTTCTTATTGCTCTCACCACTTTTTATGTTTAATTATATATACTTATATCTATTTCTGTTCACTCTGCTGTATAATTTTTAACAGCATAATTTTTCAACAAACATTTTAAACTTCTAATATATTGAGTGTCTCCGGTCCAGTGTTGGTCTAGTTTTATTTTCAATTCATGAACACTTTTTTGAGTCTACTACATTTTTTGGCAAATTATTCCATGTTTTAATTACACGTCTTGAGAACTGATGTAGGCAATGAGTTGTTCTACTACGATGCATTTCTAGTTTTAAATTATGTCCCCTTGTTGATGCCGAATGACTAAAAAAATTTCAAAAACACAGTCATCTAAGCCTTTTACTATTTTGAAAGTCTGAATCATGTCCCCTCTTAATCTGCGATGTATAAGACTTGGCAGTTTAAGCTTTTTAAAACGGTCAATATATGTCAGATCTTTTAATGATGAAACTAGTTTTGTTGCTCTTAGTTGAAGTTTTTCTAGACTTGATATATCTTTTATTAAATATGGATTCCACACAACATTTGCAAATTCAACATGAGGGCAAATCAAAGCTGTATTATATTATACAATTTCACAAAGGTGTATTCATTTAAAAATTCTAAAGACCGGTTAATAAGGCCTAAAATACTATTTGCCTTATTAATTTTAATAGAAATATGTTTGCTAAATTTAAGATCTTTTTCAAAAATAACTCCTAGATCACATTCTTCTTGAGTATCCGATAAAGTCTTGTTATTCATAACATACTGTTTTTGAGGATTTGCATGACCATAATGCATCACCTTACATTTATCAACATTAAAGTGACATTATGCTCATATTTTCCTATTCAAGTAGAGCTGAATTGACTTTATATTTCAAAAGATTGACTGTCAAAATGGTGTTCAACCAAAAGTTGATATTGGAAAATGTTCAGGATAAAATTATATATCTGCCTAAAATATAAAAAGACTGTCCCACTCTTTTATAAATTATGCGTTATAAGTAAATTCTAATGCATATTTACAGAAATTTCATTTGGTTATGTGAGTTATTTATTGTTAATGTGAACTTAATTATAAAATTAAAGGGAATAATGACAAAATGAAAACTTATTTTGATCTTCACCCGTTCACTGTTCATTTCCCATTTTACTGCCCAGTTCATAATTGAGTCAATATCATTTTGGAGGACATCCGAATTGCTAGTTGGTGTATACAATGAACATTATTGAAAATTTAAATAAAAACCTTAAATAATATTAATAAAAAGAAAATAGATACCTACTGTAGATTGAACTGGGTCCTACTAAACACTGCTAAGGACTGCTAAGGACCGCTAAGGACTGCTAAGGACTGCTAAGGAGCCACAAAGGACTACTAAAGAGGCACAAAGGACCTTAAAATACCTCCTAGGCCATTCTTATATTACCTGGTATTATTTTTAGTGAAAAAAAAATTCTAATTTTAAGAAAAAATATGATTTTGGTGAAAATTTTATGAGTTGTCGGACCGCTAAGGACTGCTCTAAGATACACAAAAGACTGCTATGGAGGCACAAAGGACCTTAAAATACCTCCTAGGGCATTCTTATAATACAAGGTAGTATGTTTAATGACAAAAATGTATTATTTTAAGAAAAAATATCATTTTAGTGATAAAATTTATGTTTTCTAAGAGTTGTCGGACCGCTAAGGCCTGCTCAGGTGCACTAACAACTGCTAGGGAGGCACAAAGGACCTTCAAATCCCTCCTAGAACATTCTTATAATATATTGTAGAAAGTTAATAGACAAAAATGTATTATTGTAAGAAAAAAATATAATTTTGGTGATAGAATTTATGCTTTCTATAAGTTGTCTGACCGCTAAGGACTGCTCAGGTGCGAAAAGGACTGCTAGGGACCTTAAAATATTTCCTAAGGAGGCATAAAGGACCTTAAAATAACTGTAAGGGCATTCTTATAATACATGGTAGTATGTTTAGTGATAAAAAATGTATAATTTTAAGAAAAAATATCATTTTAGTGATAAAATTCATGTTTTTGAAGAGTTGTCGGGCCGCTAAGGACTGCTCAGGTGCACTTACAACTGCTAGGGAGGCACAAAGGACCTTCAAATCCCTCCTAGAACATTCTTATAATATATGGTAGTAAGTTAATAGACAAAAATGTATTATTGTAAGAGAAAAATATAATTTTGGTGATAGAATTTATGCTTTAGATGAGATGCAGGACCGCTAAGGACTGCTCAGGTGCGAAAAGGACTGCTAAGGACCTTAAAATATTTCCTAAGGAGGCACAAAGGATCTTAAAATACCTGTAAGGGCATTCTTATAATACATGGTAGTATGTTTAGTGATAAAAAATGTATAATTTTAAGGAAAAATATCATGATAGTGATAAAATTCATGTTTTTGAAGAGTTGTCAGACCGCTAAGGACTGCTCAGGTGGACTAACAACTGCTAGGGAGGCACAAAGGACCTTCAAATCCCTCCTAGAACATTCTTATAAATTATGGTAGTAAGTTAATAGACAAAATTGTATTATTGTAAGAAAAAAATATAATTTTGGTGATAGAATTTATGCTTTCGATGAGTTGCAGGACCGCTAAGGACTGCTCAGGTGCGAAAAGGACTGCTAGGCAGGCAGAAAGACCTATAAATATATCCTAGGGAGGCACAAAGGACCTTAAAATACCTGTAAGGGCATTCTTATAATACATGATAGTATGTTTAGTGATAAAATGTATAATTTTAAGGAAAAATATCATTATAGTGATAAAATTCATGTTTTTGAAGAGTTGTTGGACCGCTAAGGACTGCTCAGGTGCACTTACAACTGCTAGGGAGGCACAAAGGACCTTCAAATCTCTCCTAGAACATTCTTATAATATATGGTAGTAAGTTAATAGACAAAAATGTATTATTGTAAGAAAAAAATATAATTTTGGTGATAGAATTTATGTTTTTGATGAGTTGCAGGACCGCTTAGGACTGCTAGGGAAGTACAAAGAATCTTAAAATACCTCCTAGGGGCACAAAGGACTGCTAGGGAGGCACAAAGGACATTTAAATACCCTCTAGGGCATTCTTATAATATATGGTAGTATGTTTAGTGAGAAAAAATGTATAATTTAAAAAATAATATAATTTTGGTGATAGAATTTATGCTTTCAATGAGTTGCCGGACTGCTAAGGACTGCTCAGGTGCACTAACAACTGCTAGGGAGGCATAAAGGACCTTAAATTACTTCCTAGGGCATTTTTATATTATATTGTAGTAAGTTAATAGATAAAAAATGTATTATTTTAAGAAAAAATATAATTTTGGTGATTGAATTTATGTTTTCGATGAATTGGAGGACCGCTAAGGACTGCCAGGGAGGTACAAAGAATCTTAAAATACCTCCTAGGGGCACAAAGGACTGCTAGGGAGGCACAAAGGACATTTAAATATCTCCTAGGGCATTCTTATAATATATGGTAGTATATTTAGTGAGAAAAAATGTATAATTTTAAGAAAAAATATAATTTTGGTGATAGAATTTATGTTTTCGATGAGTTGCCAGACCGCTAAGGACTGCTCAGGTAAACAAAAGACTATAAGCAAGGCCCAAAGGACCTTAAAATCACTCCTAGAACATTCTTATAATATATGGTAGTATGCTTAGTGAGAAAAAATGTATTATTTTAAGAAAAAATATAATTTTTGTGATAGAATTAATGTTTTTGATGAGTTGCTGGACTGCTAGGGAGGCACAAAGAACCTTAACTTACTTCCTAGGGCACTTTTATATTATATTGTAGTAAGTTAATAGATAAAAAAATGTAATTTTTTAAGGAAAAATATAATTTTGGTGATAGAATTTATGTTTTCGATGAATTGCAGGACCACTAAGGACTGCTAGGGAGGTACAAAGAATCTTAAAATACCTCCTAGGGGCACAAAGGACTGCTGGGGAGGCACAAAGGACATTTAAATATCTCCTAGGGCATTCATATAATATATGGTAGTGTGTTTAGTGAGAAAAAATGTATAATGTTAAGAAAAAATATAATATTTGTGATAGAATTTATGTTTTTGATGAGTTGCCAGACCGCTAAGGACTGCTCAGGTACACAAAAGACTATAAGCAAGGCCCAAAGGACCTTAAAATCACTCCTAGAACATTCTTATAATGTATGGTAGTATGCTTAGTGAGAAAAAATGTATTGTTTTAAGAAAAAATATAATTTTCAGGATAGAATTTATGTTTTTGATGAGTTGCTGGACTGCTTAGGAGAGCTCAGGTGCGCAAAGAACTGCTAGGGAGGCACAAAGGACCTTAAATTACTATCTAGGGCATTCTTATAATATATGGTAGTATGTTTAGTGAGAAAAAATGTATAATTTTAAGAAAAATATAATTGTGGTGATAGATTTTATGTTTTCGATGAGTTGCTAGACAGCTAAGGACTGCTCATGTGCGCAAAGAACTGCTAGGGAGGCACAAAGGACCTTAAATTACTTCCTAGGGCATTCTTATAATATATGGTAGTATATTTAGTGAGAAAAAATGTATAATTGTAAGAAAAAATATAATTTTCGTGATAGAATTTATGTTTTCGATGAGTTGCTGGACCGCTAAGGAGAGCTCAGGTGCCCAAAGAACTGCTAGGGAGGCACAAAGGACCTTAAATTTCTTCCTAGGGCATTCTTATAATATATGGTAGTATATTTAGTGAGAAAAAATGTATAATTTTAAGAAAAAATAT